AAGAGGAGGGAAAATAATGTTAGAATGACAAATATATCCTTAATGATGTAAGGAACAAAAAAATAAAATAATTCACAGTAAGGTCAAAAGAGTAATATGTTGTTAAAATTTTCCATCCCCTCCAAATTCCCTCACTTTTGGAGGGGAGCACATTTTTCCATGGAGGAGGGAATTGAAGGGAAAATTTAAACCCCTCCCCCTTACAAAAAGTTGAACCAAACAAGGGGAAATAAAATTTTCCCTCCCTTCCCTTCCCCTCCCCTCCGTTTCCCCCGAACCAAACATAGGCTAAGGTTAAAACTAACTATAAGCTAGTTGATAGGTAATAAGTTATTTTATATTTTTTTTTCAGTAATTTTCGAGCTTATAATTTATTACTTATGATTTATAGTTGAACAGCTAGCTTATATGATAAAAGTGTTCGGTAAAAATAAGCTAGCTGAAATAAAAAAAAAAAAAAAAAAAAAAAAAAAAAAAAAAATTCAGGGCTTGATTATTTATGAGTTAATTTACTCACTTTTATTTCAACTCAAAATTTAACTCAACTTTAACTCAATCCCACTATCTTTAATATTATTCATATAATTAAATAATAAATCTCACTATCTTTAATATTATTCATATAATTAAATAATACAAACCAATCATTCTTACACATCACATCAACTTTAATTCACTATTCATCCACTCACATAATTTTAACTACCCATCATTTCCAATAATTTCCAATCATTTATCTCTTACTTTTACATCAAATCAATTTTAATCATTTTATTTTAAATATTATTTTAATACATTTTTAAAATTCCACTAACAACTAACCATACCACCTTTTTCAAATTAACTATGGTTAACTAAAATAACTCATTTTGAACAAATTATTTCATAAACAATCAAGCCCTCAGCCATCTTATTTGAAAAGCTACCCAAAAAGACTTATCAAATAAGCTCGAGCTTTTAGACCATCCTTATCCTCAACCCAACCCAACCCAACTCAACCTAATAATTAAAAATTATTTCTCTCTCCTCCACATACACAATTCAACCTTCCAACCTAATTAATCTTTATTCCTAACTCAACACAACCTCAATATTTCTTTTAATTTAATTTATTAAAAAATTATAATTTTGTTCCGAAATATATCAAGTGTGGTCTCTATTTGTAAAGAATGAAAAAATACGAATTTTAGTATCTTTTTTATTTTTTTAAATAAAAAAATATATTTATCCAATTAAAATGGGACAAGTGTCCCATTTTCCTACACTATACAGGTCGCGACTGGGTAGCTCAATTTTCACGCTCTTAACTTTTTTTTTTTTTTTTAATATTTTTAATTGGTGACCCACATGTTAGGGTCATAAGTTAAAGCTAGTCTTAAAAAAGTTTGTCCTACTAAATGAAGCTTTTGAATAAATATAAATGCTCCCCTACTCACGGTGGGCACATGTTAATATGCCCACCGTGTAGATGACATGGGTGATGTTAATATGTTTAAAAAATACATTACCAATGAGTGCATGTCACCTACGCGGTGGGCATATTAATATGTGCCCACCGTGAATAGGTGAGCATTTCTCTTTGAATAAATGGAGCTAACCAAATCTAACTTATTTGTATACCAAATATAGCCTATCTTGAAAAAAGCTAAAATTTGTAAATAGTATAATGATATTTTTTTTTATTCCAAAAATGTGTTTTTTCATTAATTATTGACATAAACCATTGGCATGTTTTTCATGGATATGAAATAATTTTCCTATTATTTTTTTGTTATATTTTGAATTTATTTATTTTTATATTTTCATGAATTAACAAAGTATTTTATATGTAAAAGATATGTCACGTATTTATGGTGTTTCGATACATATAACTGAAAAAGCTAGGTAATAGCTAATAAGTTAACTTATACTTACAAGTTATGTTTGATTTTAATAACTTGTAAATTTTATACCAAGGATGTGTTACGTATTTATAGTATTTTGATAAATATGACTGAAAAGTTAATTAATACTATACAAATTAAGTATGATTTTGATAAGTTGTAGTTTGAGGCTCGTGATTAAAGATTAATTAGCTAATACAATAAAATAGTTTGATAGAACTAACTGATAAATTAGCTTTAGGCTTGTCTGAAACCTTTAAGCATATAAGAGGAATTTGAAGTTTATAAAATATTTATTACAATAAACAAAGCATATGAATATATACATTAAATTGTTTAAGATGAACCATATAACTCCTCTATATAATTGATCTTTTACCATTATTATTGTGTTTCAAATCAAAATAATAACAATAATTGTAGTCAAATAGTAATAATAATTTATCTAATTAACACTTAGATTCTTTTTTTTTTCTATATAAAATAAAAATGATGCATGTTGACAGGTGATTCCACAAAATAAAAACATATAACAAGTATTCACTTCAACTTAATTAAAAGATATAATTTACTATATTAATAAAGTGTTGGAGATAATGTTTTCAACTTTGCAAGGTCATAACTCATAACTCATAATAAGCCCAATCTAAACATCATAACTCATAAAAAGCCCAAACAGTTAGATATCATCCATGACAGAATTTGGGCCTACCTGGGCCCAACATCATAATCAAAACTCGCTTTAAACTTCAAAGCATTTTGGCCCACCATCGCTCACCACCAAACAAACCAGAAACGCACACGTGTCCCCTGCATATGCCAATTTTTTATTATTTATACCCGAAAAAAGAAGAGAGAGAAAACGCCTTTTTTTTCCTCTTTCCCAAATAAATGGCGAAGGACGGCACAAGGCGGGAAGGCGTAACGTACCACCAGTAGCTGCTGGCTGGCAGTGTAACTGTGTAAGCTTTTTCATCACTCTAACTCCTTTCTCTCTCTAGGGTTTCGCTTTTGCATCTCTCTAAGAAAACCTCTTTATTTTCATACTCAGCTGTTATTTTGCTTCGTTCTCACGCACTGTGCTGCTGTCTTCGAGATCTGAGCTGATTTTTTCCGCTTTTTTTCCTTCTCTCAGGCGTTGATTCGAGCTCCGTTTTCGTTTCAGGTATGGCGGTGCGGTTCGTTTCTGTAATTTGATTTACGAGTCGCGCGATGGTTTTTCGTTGTGATTGCTTGTTTCGATTATTGATTGTCGTGTCTTTATGTTCTTCGTTGAGTGTTGATGCATGTGTTTTTTTGCGGCGGTGATGCGATTATGTTGTAGATCGTGCATCGGTCCTTTGGATTTTGGATCAGTTTGCTTCATATTTGCTTGATGTCAATGGTTTGTCGCGTTTTTTGTGAATTTTGAGTGCGTGCTACTGTTCGTTGTTTATGTTCTGTTTAATCTGATGCTGTTTGCAAGTTTTCTGGAGTTCAAACTCTGATTACTTCATTAAGTTTCGGTGAACAGGGTGCTAGGTAGATATTGTGTTGATGTAGTTGCTGTTTGGTCCACATTCCATTACGTTTCTGGTCTCCTTAGAGTTGTCTTCCTTGATAGAGCTTAGTTTACCTTTAGATGTTGCCTCTAGGTAAAAAAATTTGCATAGGGATTGTTTTGCTTGCTAATGCGTTTACTAAATACTTGATTCATGAAGTTCTAAAATATCTGCCACAATTTAGTTAGTTTGGTTCTTTTTTTAAATAAAGTTCACTTGCCAGAGATCTGTTTGCATGACTTGTGATTGCGCTAGAATCAGAAACTTTTATTAATGTTGATGTCCTGCTATGCTGTCTGCAGCTATGGCGGCACCTGTTGAGACACCAAACTCTTCTGTTGTCCAGAAAACATCGCGTTTGCCTCTCAATGAAAGGATACTCTCATCCATGACCTCGAAAAGTGTTGCTGCTCACCCTTGGCACGACGTTGAGATAGGCATGTATTTATCACATTCGTGTTCGAATGTCTAATGGCAGACTCATGTTTAGTCCTTTTCATCCCTTATTTTTTCTTCGCAGGACCTGGAGCTCCAGTAACCTTCAACTGTGTAAGGGGATTTTGGTTTATTTGGATTTTGTATTCTCTTATACTAGTTCGAGCTGAGAATTGACTTCTAATTGTAAACTGAATGCTGAAGTGAAAATCTGTCCATCTTATTTGTGTAGCCTGAAATACTTTCATTTTCCTATCTCGAAAAATTCATATGAAAGACTGATGGCTCAGGCTAAAGTAACTTGACCCAAACACTATCAGTAGTGTACTAGTGTATATCAAATTTCGCCTTCCAGTTACTTCTGATTTGCCAACTTCCCAACTAAGAGAAGTATATTTTTTACCCTGCCTTCACTCCAGTTTTACATGTATTCTTATCCATTTTGTATGTTGTGCGGTATAGTGAGTAATGACCTCCTTGCTTATTTACTCATTACCCAAGTATTTTATGAACTATTTTATATCCCATGGAAAGCATTGACTTCTGTTGTATAACTTCTCTTTAATTAAGGTTTCATGGATTTTTGATAGTTGTGATTGACTGAGCTAGGACTGCAGTCACAAAGTGTTAAAAAATATATGAAATGGGATTCAGCTGAATATATTTAGTCATATCTGTGTTAGAGTGAACTATATATGATCTATTGGTCTAGAAATACATCTTGTTCACTTTACTGTGTATAGTCATATGCACATTTATGATCTATTGGTTTTTTATAGATTGCTTTTCTTTCTGTTCCCATATTTCATGGGGATATTTATTTGCTTGCAATAGACTCAACTAGCCCGTTTATTATCTGCAGGTGGTTGAAATAAGTAAAGGAAGTAAGGTGAAATATGAGCTTGACAAGAAAAGTGGTCTGATCAAGGTATGCTAGTTATAACTTCCATAGCAATATATGCTGGTTAGTTATGATTGTAAAATCATTATGAAACTGCAGGTTGATCGTGTTCTTTACTCATCTGTTGTGTACCCCCACAATTATGGCTTCATCCCTCGTACTCTATGCGAAGACAGTGACCCAATGGATGTATTGGTCATTATGCAGGTAAAGTTTTCATTCTAGAATTTGCCACCAACCACTTTGAACACTTATCATTTCTAAAGCTATGTTTCTGCTATCTGGTAGCTATTTCTTGCTCACACATTAAATAAAAATTAATGGAAACTAATGGACCTTAACTTAAGAGGAGGAAAACAATGAATAAGACCTCTAAATATAAGGAGCCTTAAGGTTTGTTTTGATCAACATTGATGAGAATCGGGGATCATCAGCATATTTTATTAGTCATTTGAATTTTGCCCTCAATTCAATCTTATTTTATTCACTCATTAGCAAATATAAATATATACTGCTTGGATAACTAAAATTGCTATAACTAGATAAAGGACTATCCAATTCACTTCGAAAACAATGACCGTCAATATGAAAATTCTGATTTTTAATATCTATTGGAATAACATATGCAAGAATATTCTATGATAATTGTAAGTTTGAGACCATTGTTCCTAACTTCTATTAATCATGTAGTTGAGTTCTGTAAACTTGAAAACTTCGTACTTAACCTTCATTTTTGGTTGTGTGGTGTAAAGAATTTTAATAGCAACGTCCATTGGAAACAGTTTTCCTCATTACTTAACTATCTCGTTAAACACGATCAGGAACCAGTTCTTCCAGGCTGCTTTCTCAGGGCTAGAGCAATAGGCCTCATGCCCATGATTGATCAGGTACTTATACACTACACTTCACATCTGACATAATATCATCGTTTAGAACAAATAGCTGACTTCTTAACCACAGGGAGAGAAAGATGACAAGATAATCGCTGTTTGTGCTGATGATCCCGAGTACCGTGACTATGCAGACATCAAAGAGCTCCCACCTCACCGCTTGGCTGAAATCCGCCGTTTTTTCGAAGATTGTATGTGAAAAACAGATTTTAAACATGCTTGACAAAAATGTTCCTGTTTTCTCTTTAACGGTGTTCAACTTGTGTTTACTGAGTTTCCTTACTTCCTTTACAGACAAGAAAAATGAGAACAAAGATGTTGCGGTTGATGAATTTCTTCCAGCCACAAAGGCTTATGAAGCAATCCAGGGCTCAATGTGAGTGATCTTTTCATTATACAAATTTTACTATACATTCAAATAAGACTTTCTGTGTGAAGAGAAAGAATAACTATTCACACTTTCCAATATATACAGCATAAGTAAATATCTTTTAGTGATATGATTTCTGTGGTGACGGAATATCATGATTTTTAACACACAGAAAGCAATTTTGGTAATATTAATTGATCGACGATTGTATTTAAAATTGCTTCTATCTCGTGCAGGGACCTGTATGCAGACTATATTGTGGAGAGCCTGAGGCGTTAGCTTGACTTCAGGACCTTATTCGAGAGCTTTGTTCCTAAACGTTTTCATATACTAGCTTGTATGTTTCTTCAATACAATATTATTAAGGTGAAGATGATACAATTTTACTTCCTGGTTGTTACAGAATCAGGTTAGAGTTGTGAAAACCCAAAATATACCACGGGCTTGCAAAAAAAAAAAA